AGCTGTTTCTTCACTTTTTGTAACAAGCAGTAATAAACCTGCTATGTAATTTAGGCCCTGAAGAATAAAACTTTGTAAAAATTGTATTAAAAATACATTGTGTATAATCTTAAGAATAATTTTAAGGTACTTACTTGACAATATCCTACTGTTTTATTCTGGTGAGCAAATGCTAATAGAATATTATACAATTGATGCTGTTGATTTTCTATATTATTAAAGAATATATTATCAGGAAAAGTTCTTGGTAAATCAGTTTTAATAACATCTGCAACTTGTTTATTATGTGGAGGTTGTAATAATTTCTGGTAAAGATCAGGGTCTGCATTTTTTACTTCTTCTCCTCCACTGACAGAAAGCCACACCTTTGAAAATTAAATTTTTTCTTTATATAAATTGTACACAAATATTTTATGAGAAATTAAAATATCAATTTTATACTCACTAATCCTCTGTACTCTCCTGGTATTCCTTTACGAACATATCTCTTTATTGTAATATTACGCTGTAATGATTTTCCCTCACCAATGATTTCAGCCCATTTCTTTGCTCTTTTAGCAAGTACTTTGAGGTACTCTGACATAAAATCTTCATAGGTTTCATAATCAAAGTCATGAGGTCTTTCAAAGCCATATTCATCCACGTTGCTAATAAACATGTTAAGAAAATATTAAAATTATTAGTATATTTAAAAAACATATTCATACTTTTGCAATTGTAATTATGAAAATTAAAAAGATTTATGAATAATATGGAGTTAATACAGTGAAAGTAAATTAAAAAATATAATAATGTTATTAAAAAATTAAAATATCTATTCCGCTTACCTAAAACATGAACTTGCCATACCCCACGCAAGACGATGCTGACATATAATTTCTGCTGTATATAGGGTGTTCAGCAAGTTCTTTCCAATTTTATGTTTACTATGCAGTGACATAGCTGAAATGTGTTGACATAAATGGTAATTTATATTAAGATTACTATATTTTTCTTATCTGTTCTTAGATTTAATTTCATGTACTAAATTATAATTTTAAACTTAATTGATTTTATTATTTATCACAAGTAATTCTATGTATTTGATTTTTAGAAACTCAAAAAGGTGTTTTGGTAAAACGGTGTCCTACAATAACCATATTTTTATTTGTACTTGATAATGCATATTTGAAAATGCATATATATACTTTTTATCTAAAACTTAAACTTAAATATTAAACTTAAGTGCCTTTATAAGGTACTTATATGAAGATAACAACTTTAAATAATATTCGATAAACACGTAATTATTGATGAACAATGTTTAAATACTAATTTGTGGATTATGTAATTTAATAGATAACTTGTTACTTGAAAAAGGAGTAAGCAAAAAGGTAATATATTTGAAAAAGTAAAAAGATCGATTTTCCAAATAATAATCGTTTATAATCGAGAAAACTAGTCGATATTAGAGTTACTAGTTCAGAATTTGCGCAAGCGTACTTGCTTGACAGAAATTTATGTGTAACTTCAAATAAAAAACGGATATTTTTTAACATCATAGTATTATAAAATATTTTATATATTTACATTATATGCGAAAGCAAGTACATTAGTTTATTTGTATATATTATATCATTTATAGTTACCAAATTATACAAATACTAACGT